ATCAGTTCACTGGGGAGGGGGCGACCACCTACAGGCCCGCCACAGGAAGGTGGAACCCCTTGTCGGCGCCCTCTCTTGAGCACCGGGGATCACTAAAGAGTCCAGAGCTGGTCAGCATTGGGCGAAGGTGCTTTGGGGGATACCCCTGACCTTCCTTAAATCACCCCCCTCAATGCTGAACGGCATGTGGGCCGGTATCAATATACAGGGGGGGGGGCTCCCCCCTGAGACCAGGCCTTATGAAGAGTAGGCTTGCTTGGTCTGACCATCACTCTTTGTAGGGAACCTCCCTCCTGAGACTCCGCCTTATGAAGAGTAGGCTTGCTTGGTCTGACCATGACTCTTTGTAGGGAACCTCCCTCCTGAGACTCCGCCTTATGAAGAGTAGGCTTGCTTTGTCTGACCATCGCTCTTTGCAAGGAACCTCCCTCCTGAGACTCCGCCTTATGAAGAGTAGGCTTGCTTGGTCTGACCATCGCTCTTTGTAGGGAACCTCCCTCCTGAGACTCCGCCTTATGAAGAGTAGGCTTGCTTTGTCTGACCATCGCTCTTTGCAAGGAACCTCCCTCCTGAGACCGGCCTTATGAAGAATAGACTTGCTTGGTCTGACCATCACTCTTCGCTAGGAACCTCCCTCCTGAGACCGGCCTTATGAAGAATAGACTTGCTTGGTCTGACCATCGCTCTTTGCAAAGAACCTCCCTCCTGAGACTCCGCCTTATGAAGAGTAGGCGTGCTTGGTCTGACCATCGCTCTTTGCAAAGAACCTCCCTCCTGAGACTCCGCCTTATGAAGAGTAGGCGTGCTTGGTCTGACCATCGCTCTTTGCAAAGAACCTCCCTCCTGAGACTCCGCCTTATGAAGAGTAGGCGTGCTTGGTCTGACCATCGCTCTTTGCAAAGAACCTCCCTCCTGAGACTCCGCCTTATGAAGAGTAGGCGTGCTTGGTCTGACCATCGCTCTTTGCAAAGAACCTCCCTCCTGAGACTCCGCCTTATGAAGAGTAGGCGTGCTTGGTCTGACCATCGCTCTTTGCAAAGAACCTCCCTCCTGAGACTCCGCCTTATGAAGAGTAGGCGTGCTTGGTCTGACCATCGCTCTTTGCAAAGAACCTCCCTCCTGAGACTCCGCCTTATGAAGAGTAGGCGTGCTTGGTCTGACCATCGCTCTTTGCAAAGAACCTCCCTCCTGAGACTCCGCCTTATGAAGAGTAGGCGTGCTTGGTCTGACCATCGCTCTTTGCAAAGAACCTCCCTCCTGAGACCCCGCCTTATGAAGAATAGGCTTGCTTGGTCTGACCATCGCTCTTTGCAAGGAACCTCCCCCCTGAGACGCGACCTTATGAAGAGTAGGCATGCTTGGTCTGACCATCGCTCTTTGTAAGGAACCTTCCTCCTGAGACCCGGCCTTATGAAGAGTAGGCGTGCTTGGTCTGACCATCACTCTTTGCAAGGAACATCCCCCCTGAGACGCGACCTTATGAAGAATAGACTTGCTTGGTCTGACCATCGCTCTTTGCAGGGAACCTCCCTCCTGAGACCCCCCCTTATGAAGAGTAGGCTTGCTTGGTCTGACCATCACTCTTTACAAGGAACCTCCCCCCCCCCTGAGACCTGGCCTTATGAAGAGTAGGCTTGCTTGGTCTGACCATCGCTCTTTACAAGGAACCTCCCTCCTGAGACTCCGCCTTATGAAGAATAGACTTGCTTGGTCTGACCATCGCTCTTTGCAAGGAACCTCCCTCCTGAGACCCCGCCTTATGAAGAATAGACTTGCTTTGTCTGACCATCGCTCCTTACAAGGAACCTCCCCCCTGAGACCTGGCCTTATGAAGAGTAGGCTTGCTTGGTCTGACCATCGCTCTTTGCAAGGAACCTCCCTCCTGAGACCCCGCCTTATGAAGAATAGACTGGCTTTCTCTGACCATCGCTCTTTGCAAGGAACCTCCCTCCTGAGACTCCGCCTTATGAAGAATAGACTTGCTTGGTCTGACCATCGCTCTATACAAGGAACCTCCCCCCCTGAGACCGGCCTTATGAAGAATAGACTTGGTTGGTCTGACCATCGCTCTTTGCAAGGAACCTCCCTCCTGAGACCCAGCCTTATGAAGAATAGACTTGCTTGGTCTGACCATCGCTCTATACAAGGAACATCCCTCCTGAGACCCCGCCTTAAGAAGAATAGACTTGCTTGGTCTGACCATCGCTCTTTGCAAGGAACCTCCCTCCTGAGACCCCGCCTTATGAAGAATAGACTTGCTTGGTCTGACCATCGCTCTTTGCAAGGAACCTCCCTCCTGAGACCCCGCCTTATGAAGAATAGACTTGCTTGGTCTGACCATCGCTCTTTGCAAGGAACCTCCCTCCTGAGACCCCGCCTTATGAAGAATAGACTTGCTTTGTCTGACCATCGCTCCTTACAAGGAACCTCCCCCCTGAGACCTGGCCTTATGAAGAGTAGGCTTGCTTGGTCTGACCATCGCTCTTTGCAAGGAACCTCCCTCCTGAGACCCCGCCTTATGAAGAATAGACTGGCTTTCTCTGACCATCGCTCTTTGCAAGGAACCTCCCTCCTGAGACTCCGCCTTATGAAGAATAGACTTGCTTGGTCTGACCATCGCTCTATACAAGGAACCTCCCCCCCTGAGACCGGCCTTATGAAGAATAGACTTGGTTGGTCTGACCATCGCTCTTTGCAAGGAACCTCCCTCCTGAGACCCAGCCTTATGAAGAATAGACTTGCTTGGTCTGACCATCACTCTTTACAAGGAACCTCCCCCCCTGAGACCCGGCCTTATGAAGAGTAGGCTTGCTTGGTCTGACCATCGCTCTTTACAAGGAACCTCCCTCCTCAGACCCCGCCTTATGAAGAATAGGCTTGCTTGCTGGCTTGACAAGATCCACACGCAGTGTAACTCACTAAGAAGACACAGAAGTAGAACCTGTTGTAGTGAACCGCAATGTATTGGTGTAAATCGGGAATGCAAGGCGTAGTGTGAATAGGGCCAGGGACATACAGTGGACGATTTTTGGGGGTTCTTAAAGGGAAAAAGAACACCGGAATCTGGACCTTCTGGGCCGGCTGAAACAAGTCCGGGCCAGCAAAGCATGGTGGAGCTGAGACTAAACTGAACTAATGCTACACACAGGGGTGAGGCGCAGGACACACCACCACAAACATCATCACATTCAAGGCAGTACACAATATGTGCAGACACTGTCCCCAATGGGGGGGGGACTACTTTATCCTGGAGAAGATGATGATTGTCCAATATGTGGGGGAGATCGCTGACCTTCTCTCTTTTCCCCCAGCACTCAGAAGAGACCCTGGATCCTGGACCCCTCCGGAGTCTTGTACTACGCCTGGCTCAACATCATGGTCGTACCGATCACCTACAACTGGGTCATCATCATCTGCAGGTACCGACCAGCTCATGCCGCTGCAGAGCCGCTGCACAATCACCACCTCACAGTCCTGCAAAGTTCTCAAATACTCTTTCATGTCACTGACCCGAGACAACTACGAAGGTCTCTTGTGACTCTCTCTGGGGCTGGTTGCTGTGAGAAATACTGAAGGCAGAGGATGAGCATGCCAGGCAGTTAGCATGTTCATGAAGAAGCAAGCAATGGCAGCCCATGTATTTCTCTAGTGATGGGTTCTCTTTATAGCAGTGGTGGTCAGCTTTCTTGGTATAGGGCAGGGGTGGGCAACTCAGGCCCTCCAGCTGTGTAGTTAAAGCACAGTGGAAGGGCCGGAGTTGCCCATCCCTGCCATAGAGGGATCACTTTGATGCAGTTGGCCAGTGAGGGACCACAATGAGGCAATTGGCCAGAGAGGGAACACTTTAGGGCAATTAGCCAGAAAAGGATCACTTTTATGCAGTTGGCCAGAGAGGAATCACCTTGAGGCAATTGGCCAGGGAGGGATCACTTTAAGGCAATTGGCCAGAGAGATATCACTTTAAGGCAATTGGCTTGAGAGGAATCAGCTTGAGGTAACTGGCCAGAGAGGGATCACTTTAAGGCAATTGGCCAGAGAGGGATCACTTTAAGGCAGTTGGCCAGAGAGGGATCACTTTAAGGCAATTGGCCAGAGCGGGATCACTTTAAGGCAGTTGGCCAGAAAGGGATAACTTTAGGGCAATTAGCCAGAGAGGGATCACTTTAAGGCAGTTGGCCAGAGAGGGATCACTTTAAGGCAGTTGGCCAGAGAGATCACTTTAAGGCAGTTGGCCATAGAGTTCACTTTAAGGCAGTTGGCCATAGAGTGATCACTTTAAGGCAATTGGCCAGAGAGGGATCACTTTAAGGCAATTGGCCAGAGAGGGATCACTTTAGGGCAATTAGCCAGAGAGGGATCACTTTAAGGCAATTGGCCAGAGAGGGATCACTTTAAGGCAATTGGCCAGAGAGGGATCACTTTAGGGCAATTAGCTAGAGAGGGATCACTTTAAGGCAATTGGCCAGAGAGGGATCACTGGTGCAGTTGGTCAGCTTATATATGTATTGAAATAAATGTGAACCAAGAATCTCTGTTTCATGCAAAAGCTTGCTAGAATAGAGGTAAGGATGTATAGCAGTATGCACAGGGTTAATTCAGAGTTTTTGTCCTCCTATGTGGCCCCTGACGAAGGGCCTCACAACATAGTATTCAGTGACTGCAGGGCTAGAGAAAGCTGTCAGAGGCCACAGATCTGCAACAAGTGACAGTCAAATACTGCAGACATACAACAGGAGATGGTCAGAGACTGTGAACGTGCTATAGGAGTTGTTGGAGACTGGAAACACAGACTTCTGTCTAAAGCAGGGGTCTCAAAGTACCGGCCCCCGGCCCAACTCCGGCCCGCGAGCCGGTACTATGTGGCCCGCAGCCAGCTGACTTGTGGGAGCAGCTACACGGTCTGCATCTCTTGTCGGATGCAGAGCTGCTCCTGTCAGCTCCAGCCGGAGCTCCGTCAGCTCTGAGCTCCGGCCGAATGATGGATGATTAGTAAGGTCTGCACTAGACCTTACTAATCACCACTAGATCGCCAGGGAACGATAATGTGCCTCCTCCCTGCACAGATGAAGGGGGCTTCGAAGGAAAGGAGGGAGGGGGGAGTGTATTATATGTGTTCTGGGGGCTTGGGTGGGAGGGGAAGTTTAATATGTGTTTTGGACGGGGGAGTTTATTATGTGTGCTTGGGAGGG